ACTTGGGTGTTGCCTGGCTATTCCCAGCTGAGGGGTCTCCAGTGGGGTTTCTGCAAGAATGATGTCTCTCAACCAGATTTTATTTCTGATTTATTCCTGACTGCCAGTTTGCACCAGCAGAGTTGTAAATATCTCATTACATAAATTTTACTCTGGGGCAGATCTGCCTTGAAACGCTAATGGTTTTATAGACCTCTGTGAACTCACATGCTCCTAATTTTACCAAGGAAGGAATTGCAGCACCTCAATCCACTCTACACGGTCTTGCAAAGGAAAGGCTGGGTGTAGAGCCAGCCAAGCTGGCTGGCACGAGAGAGAAGTACAACAGTGTTATAGGTGCACAGTCGCTGAGGAAGCTTTTCCCAGAGTCCTGTTTTGCAGTCTGGTATTTTGTAAAATGGCTCTAAGGTACCAGTTCTTTGTGATTTTTCCATCTCATTTGTGTTACAGAGCTGGCTCCAAATTGCCTGTAGCTGTGTACTTTTTTTTATATTTTCTCCATAAGAGATCTTAACAGCATTGTATCTTTCCCTGTTCTTTCTAAAACAATGTCAAAATGTCATTTGCTATGATAATAGATCTAAGGCACTTCTGGTAAAGCATTCTTAGTAAAACAGTTTTCAGGTGTTTGATATTGCAGCTGAGATTTCTCAGTGTGTTCCCCACCTTTGCTGGGCGAGCTGAAGGTGCAGACCTCTCACCTTGGGCATGAGGAAGCTCTGAACCGCCGTCGGTGGGACTCCTGCGTTGGGCAACGGCGTTAGTATAACAGTTGTGAGGTGCAGTTGTGAAAGACACGAACTGGCTGCTTAGCACACGCTAACAGAAGGATCTGGAACAACGCGCCGGCGTTGCACAGCCCCTGGGAGCTGCGGTTGCGCCATTTCCTTCCCTGCGGTGGGCAGCAAGGGAGATGGAGAGGAGCCAGCGTGCAGCGCTGCGAGGAGCACGCCGAGCGCAGATGGGCTTGGTGAATGCTGGCTTGGGAAATGCCGACTTCTTTCTCTTGCGCGAACAGTGTGAGTTCCCCGTTTTGCCCCTTTTATCTCAGTAGTAACTTCCCTGGGTGTGTAAGTCCCTTCGAGGTCTTCTCGTGGACTGAGCAAGAGTGCAGCGGGCAAACGCGAGTGTTTGGGCTGATATCAACAGGCAGCGAATGAGTTAAGCCTGAGGCTGTCCAGGAGAAGTTCCTGTTTCACTATTCAGCCTTTCCAACTGTGATTCAGCCTTTCCAACTTTCCTCGTGACGCTGCTGGGTAAATCATGTCGTGTTTCAGGAGGGTCCGCTGCCAGTTGCCAGGGCTTTTGGGTGGATGGTACCTGCCATGCATGTGTCCATAAACTTGCAAACGTTAGACTAGTCCCTCTTAACATATTAATTATCTTAATGTCATCTCTTAATGAGAAAAGTCGGATAGTAGAATGATGGAATAAGGTTTCTGGAGGAAAAATGCCAGCAAACTGTGAGACACGCGTGGGCAATGGTAGTGGGCTCTTTGAGCGGAAACATCAGCAAAAGCCAGGGCCAAACCCAGAGCCAGGGCAAGCCCGAGCCCCCAGCCAAGGCCTGCGGTCTCCCTCCAGCGGCGCTGCCGTCCTCCCTTTGCTGCCCGCAAGTGAGGGCTGGTTTCTTCATCGTTTTCTTTACACACGTTTCAGCTCGGTGGGATTCAACCAACGTCCAAAAACGGATGAGTTGGTCCATAAAGTCCTTCCTCTTTGCAACCTCTGTGGGGCTGCAGCCCCGGTGAGTTGGATAAATGAGCACTGCACATCTTATTTCTTCATAATATTACTGTATCATAACTGTAGGCTTACCAGGCTTGTTAGCAGGCAATTGAAAAGGTAAATCCTCTCCCTATCTATATTTTACAGAACAATTGGCTTTCTCCTTCTAGCTCGCCCGGTGTGTTCAGCGTGGGAGCAAATCAATGCTGAGCGCTTGTCTCCTGGCTGATCTGCATACAACATGTTATGAAAGAACCTTAAAAGCTGTTTCTCTGGAAAATAAATAACATTCTTTGTGCAAATCATTACAAAACGAATTATGATTTAAAAATTTACTGTAGAAGAATTGTGCAATGAGCAGCACAGGCTTTCACGCTAAAATCAAGTTGGCGCAACGTAAAACAAATGGCAGTCGCTGTTTATTCAGGCTTCTGATCTCTTGACGAGGCTGAGAGAAGAGGAATTTTGCCACAACGACCAGTTAAGCTTTGTGTACGCGGTCTATACTGTAGTATCGCTGGGGAATCAGCAGGTTGCGCTAGCTGATCAGCCAACAGGCATGGCTGGGCATGCCTTGTTCTGCAGACGGCAGGCTGCCGGAGGTCTGAGGATGTTGCCTTCCTTTTTTGTGAAGAATGAGCTGAAGATGAAGCTGAAGTTGTGCTGGTGCACAGTTCTGACTGAAAAGTCCATCTCGAATTTATTTTGCCTTTTTAATATACTTCCTAAACCTGAGTTAGGCGAGTTTTATTGGGGAGGATGGAGGAACGCAAAAGATAATCTTTTTGCTACCCATGTCTGTCCTGTGGGGAGGACAGAGCTCTGGATGAATCCTCCTAAAGTCCTTTAATGCTCAGGGAAGTAGAAGGGAATAGTGCAGACTTGGGTTGCAGCCTTAGGCAGTCAGGACTTTCACAGTTTGGGATCCCAGCTTGTCTCTCTGTCTGGGACCTTGGGGTACAAACTTATAAAATGAAAGGGATAGCAAGGAAAAGGATCCCTGCAGTCCTGGTGCAGAAACAAAGCAATCCTGCACGGCCCGAGTTTGCCAACTCTTTCCAGAAACGCCCAGTTGCCCCGTTACTTCCCCCAGCACCCTTTCCCCTCACCTTGAATATTTCTAGAACCGTGTGTTTCACCAGCCCTTTTTTTCCTTCCCAGCGTCACCTACAAATTGTACTTTCCCTTCCTCTACAGCCTGTTATTTTTTACTAGACTGAAGAGATAAAGCCAGATTTACTTACACCGTTTGCCCCCACTGCTCTGTAACCTAAAATAGAAGCACTGTTTACTTTTTCTTACTTTTCTTACTCGGCACTGGTGAGGCCGCACCTCGAATCCTGTGTTCAGTGTTGGGCCCCTCACTACAAGAAGGACGTTGAGGTGCTGGAGCGTGTCCAGAGAAGGGCAACGGAGCTGGGGAGGAGTCTGGAGCACAAGTCTGATGGGGAGTGGCTGAGGGAACTGGGGTTGTTCATTCTGGAGAAGAGGAGGCTGAGGGGAGCCCTCATCACTCTCTACAACTACCTGAAAGGGGGTTGTGGTGAGGGGGGGTTGGCCTCTTCTCCCATGTAACCAGCGATAAGACGAGAGGAAATGGCCTCAAGTTGCGCCAGGGGAGGTTTAGATTGGATATTAGGAAAAATTTTTTCACCGAGAGAGTGGTCAGGCATTGGAACAGGCTGCCCAGGGAGGTGGTGGAGTCGCCATCTCTGGAAGTGTTCAAAAAATATGTAGACGTGACACTTCAGGACATGGTTTAGTGGGCACGGTGGTGTTGGGTTGATGGTTGGACTTGATGATCTTAAAGGTCTTTTCCAACCTTAATGATTCTGTAATTCTGTGCTGCCAGGTGACAGCCCCAGTTAAAAAAGGAATTTTTAGCATTTGCCCTGTACATCTCTCAGGCACCTGCAGGAGCATCCTGCATCCCTGAACCAAAGTGCTGCACCTCCCTGTGCTGCTGGAAAAACTCAGATTAAAAAATCGCTCGCTGAAAAGGTTTGTGAAACCAGTCTGTGGAGACAGACCAGAAAAGTGCTGAGCTGCTGTTGTTAATGTACAGGTGAAAATGTTCCTTGTAGAGGAGCAAAGGTGTGTTGTTGGCTGGAGGCTCAGAGCCCTGCTCAGTCAGCAAGGTCAGCTCAGTCTTTCATTAGGCTTTGCCGGGAGAAGTGGGTGCTTGATTGGGACCTTCCCTTTCCACCTCTGAGAACCTGATAACAAGGTAAAAAACTGGGATTTTAACCAAGTGGCGCTTAGGTGGAAGATGATTTTTATTATCATAAAAATAAAAAAAAATTGGTCAAAACTGGAAAACACTGGGGACTTTTGCTGAAATGTTTCTGCTTTCAGTTTAAGGAAAAGTTTTTTTCACAGAAAACTCAGCTGTATTGACTCACCATCAATGTCTGGTTGCTATCTGTCTCTGCACGTTTGGGCTGTCTGTTTATATAGACGTGCTGCTGTTTCATTCATAGCAAAGTTAAAGTGGTTCCTGGGGAAGGTGAATGGGACGCAGCAGGTTAAGCACTTTTCACAGATGTAGCAAATATTGTTCTGTAGTTTCTTAAAAAAACCCAAATCTGCTGTCAGGACGTACACGGCTCCCACTGAAGCAGCTTCCCCGCTTATCCGAGGCTGCAGTGGCATTAGTAGATACGTGAGCCTGCAGCGCTCGAGCCCTTGAGACTCCCGGTAGCATGTTGGTAGCCTTGGCCTGAAAAGCCCTGTCCCGTTAACAAGAGCTTCTTGTCCCGGGAAAGTCTTCAGCTGAGTTACTAAGGGAAAGAAATGCCTCACTTGGACAAAAAGAAACCGGGGTGTGCCAAGGCAATCCCGAAGCAGGAGTCTGGGGAAAAGGAATGAGTTACTTCATTAATGTTCTTTTATGTTTTTTTGTGATGAGCCCCAGGAAAGATTTGGGTTTCAGCTTTATCCGGGTTTTTTCTCCCCAGCTGCATTAAAAAAGCAGAACCCAGCCCAAACTCCATGGCAGCACCGAAGACATTCAAAGCAATTTGTAGCGAAGCAACCCTTTAATAATGTGGTTTTCCATATGCAAGCACAAGTAAAATTTCTGGCTTATTGAAGAAATCTCTGTGTTTGGCTGCAAAGAGAGGAGAGAAGTCCGAGCTGGGTGAGCTGCAGCAGGGCTCACTGTTTGAGGCTCAGTGGCTTCCACTTCACCGGAGTGACTACCTGTGCCCGAGCAACGTAAGGAATACACAAGTGGGGGCCGAAGGCTTTGCCCCTGATGCGCAGCCTCCCATCTACAGGCTGGGAGTAGGGTCTGTTAAGTCACAGTTCTGGATGTGGACATGGGACGTAATTCCTCGGTAGACCCTTTGCACGGGCAGCAGGACGCCCGATTTTCTCTCCCTTCTTGATGGGGCTGCTGTACTTGATGGGTCTGATGTAAAACATCTTAACGCAGAATCCTGTTAATAGGGGAGAGAGAAGAGGGGGAAACTGTTGCTGCTATGAAATGGTTTAAAAGCCTGGCAAAGTCATAACGTTCAGAAGCAAAACACAAATGCCAATAAAATGATAAGAGATTCAGTAGCAGAAAAAGTTACAGAAAATGCTGTGATGCTCCTATAGCGTCAAGAAGAGAGAATATGAAAAGAAATAAATGAACATGGAGGAGGGTGGGGAAGGGGATTAAGGTGGGTAAAGCTGCAGGAGCAAGTCAGAGGCTGTTCCTTTAATCATCCAAAATGTACAAAGGGACCAGCTTCATCCTTTGGCTTTTTTAATAGAGATGAAATGCTGTAATCCTTTTGATCAATTTTCCTGCATTAACAGAGCCTAAATTTCAAATTTACAGTTTTCCCTTGGATTCCCATGCAAGCGCACTGCAGCTTGGGTTGGGTTCATGATTTTTGGCTCGGTTTAAAGCTCTATAAACGAATCGGAGCATTTTGCAGTCAGGCTTTGCAAGGCGCACGTCTTCCAGCGCTGGTACCTGATCCTGAAAGCTGGACCCCGTTGTCGATGGCGTTGCCGTTTCCGTAGGGCCTGGCTTGTTTGTCGATCTTTCCCGCGAAGGGTGCGTGCACCACCGAGCCATCCTCGCACACCACGTCCACTCCCCGGTGCTTCCTCCCGCCTCTGAAGAAGAGGAGCAAGGCGGGTTAGCCTGCAGCAGGGTGCCTGGCCAGCTAGAAGCCCCAAAGCCAGACAGCTGCTTCCCAGCGATGCTCTCCGATGATGGCTTAGCAGGGTCATCCTCGGGGCCTCGAGAGCGAACTTGAAATATAGAATCATCTAAGGGAAACAGGGAAAGGGAAGATACTGTTTTACAACACCTAATATTGTTAGAAAAAAAAGGCAAACTCCAGGGACACAGTCACAAGATTGAAATCTCTCTGTGTGTTGCTGAGCCCTGTGGACGGTTTTCCAGAGGCTTTTAGTCTCTGAGAACTCTGGCTCTTCCACACCCATTTTTTCACCCTTGTTTTTATTTTGAGAAAGCTTCAAGCGCCGCCATCACCCATCAGCCCAGCCCAGACCTGGGGTTGTCGTATCTGCCGCAGCCCTGGGAGCCACAGCCTCTGATTTTGTTTGCAGGTTGACTTGAGCAGATTTTCGCCCACTGTGCTGCAGCAGCTAGAAAAGAAGAAAAGAAGAGAAGAGCAGAAGATGAAACCCACAAGCTAGAAAGGGAATTTCCTAGCCTGTGCTGTTTAATCAATATGAAGGTCCGTTTGGATTTTGCTGTAATCATGGATCAGGCTTTAGGGAACTAGAAGGTTGTTCATCTTTTGATGCAAGTTATTTTAGGGGTGCAATGAAACAGACCATTTTTTTGTTTTATGCTTTGTCGAATGACATTTGAGGGTACTTAAAGCAGTGACTTCAAAGCAAAAATGCAGAACAAATAGATCGGGAGGGGACGTCATGGGGTGACCCACTCCCCCCGTTGCCCCAGGGCAGACATGCTGCATTCACAAGGCAAACGTGGGGCTGGAGCAAGAGGATGTCTCTGCCTGGAAGGTGACTTGAGCCACCCAAGATGTTGGGACACTGAACTGTAACTGTAAAAATAGGGCTGAGAAAGACCCACCAAGTCCGTTCCTATTCCCTAATGTGAGATCCAGTCAAAAATAAAAGCTGTCATCTACCTTATACTAATTGCATTTTCTAGCTCCCAGTGTTTCTGTGGTATTATTGCAAAGCAGCAGCCAGTTGGGGTAACATCTTCGTGTTTTTTATTCCAGACTCCAGCTGTCATCACCCATGGTCAACCCGTGTTGATCCTACAGCCCCGGCGACGTCTGCAGGAGGAGAACCTTTACAAGAGAGAAGGTGAGAAAGGCAACCCCTGACTTGGTACCTTCTACAAGCCTCCAACAGCCCTGCTCCCCCCACCAAAACTACGTGGGTTTCCCACGGGATGCTCTAGCGAGAATGGGGCTGGTCTAGCAAGAACCAATGAGTTGAGGTTTATTCGTGTGCGCGAGCGGGTCGGCAGCCACCATCCCCGTTGGGCTCTAGGAGTACACGCAAACGGGGAAATGATGTGCTGGCGCTGAAGGTCTGGTGCTAAAAGGGTGCAGGAAATCTCTAATGCCTTTCTCAAGCAAAACAGCCCTTTGTTCTAGGTAGTCTTCATTTATTTTAATGAATTGTGTATTCTTTGTGAAAGCAAAGGTGATGACGTTAAAGACAGAAACATCTCAGGGAACACTCAGCGGGCTGATCTTTAAGTAAAAGACTTTTAAGAAAAAACGCATGCTGTTAGTCATTGATGTGTCTCAGCTGACTCTTTCTTATTCAATCAACATTATTTGATATATATCTTATTCAACTCCAACAACATTTTGCCACAACTCTTTATCATATCTAAAAAGGATTTTTGCATGGAGGTTTCTATGCGATGTGAGAGGCATTATTTTCAAAAGCAACAAATGGCAGAGAACAAATCTGTTCCTAAATCCTTACAGATACTTTTCACTGGGGGGGTGGGAAGGAAAAAAAAACACGAAAGAAGAAGGCGGCAGGTTACAATGAGCAACGTTTACCAGAATTCAGCTAACTCACCACTGGAGATCGCAATCGTGAGGATGACCGCTGTGACTCTGTGCATTTTCATGTGCCTTAGCTCTGCTTTCAAAGTGAAAGGTCTAAAATACTTCGCTTTCCATTTATACATCCCAACAGAGGCTGTATCCAAATTTTTCTAGCCAATCAGAAAATGTATGTGGCCTCAGCTCTTTTGCTTGCAGATGCAGGCCAACAGCAAGAACTGAGAGCAGCCCTCGAGGTGTACCCCCAGCCTGGATAATTGGTGGTGTAGAGGTTCCAACCTATTCAGCTGCAACAGCAGCTACGTGGTTTTGTTTGATTTCGTTTACAATGAAACCATGAATATTAAACCCAAATTTTAAAGACAATTTGTAACTATTCCTGCCTGTTGCACAATCCTGAATTTGCATGCAAAAGGGGAAAAGAGATCAAATGAACTTCAAAAAATACCTTGGCAGATGGATACCTTGCCCTCTCACCATGGCTATTTCTTCATGGAAGGAAGTTCAGCCAGGTGGACACAGCTCTGTGCCATGCATCACGCCCACCCTCATGCTGGAAAAATCTGATTAGGTGACCCATCAAACAAGACTTTGTGCCTCATTTTTATTAGCCGTCTTCATTATTGAATCCCAGATATTGCCATGTTGCCAATGATGAACCTTCAGCATTAACAGTGAGAGAGACGCATGTTTACAACCTTCACTGTGCCTCAACAGAAAATGTCATAAACCCTATAATATTGTGGCTGAGAAAAATTACAGGAAATTGAAGAAGAGAACACTGGAGCACGAACAAGGCCACCTCGAGAGTTGTTTCTGGGATGGGAGGGAATGTGATGCCCTGGTTTACAGCCAGGAGCTGGAAGTTGTTTGTCTTCTCGGCTCTTTGGCCACCTGGTCTGTGCCACCGGGAGCAACTGACCGTTTTGGTTCAATAAAACCCGAGAGCCCAGGTTAGATATGGCTTTGAGTCAGGGCTCTCAGCCGGGATGCTGTGCCCTTGCTGTCCCTCTTTCGTGGCACCAGATGGGTTAAGACTGGCCTTGCACTCAAGACCAAACCAAGGGTTCTGCTGCACAGGATTCAAAGCCCTTCTTTGCCAGAGGAGGAAACACCAGCTGCCAATGGGTGCTGGTGAACAGAAGTTGTATTTCATGGGAAAAGAAGGTGACCCCACCAGGATGTCTTCAGGACGTGCATGCTGCCTTCTCCTTTCCCCTTCTCCCGTTGAAGTGTCATCCAAGTATGTCACTTCCGTCTGCAATACTGTAACGGTGACAGGGTAACAGCTTGGCTTGGACAGAGCCAACACCTGAACCCAGCTGAAGCCTGGCTGGTGTGGGCTTCATAGCCTGGTGGAGACCACGGGAGATGTTTCAGCTCCAGACGACCCACTGCAAATCAGCAAGACGAGGAGGACAGCCGTGCCAGCCCTGCTACACGAGGGGTTCTAAACCTACTGCCTCCTTCCCACACCCCACACTCCCATTCGAATCCCTGGGTGATTTTTTTTCTCCAGAAGAAACACTCCTGGTTTACTGCTTTCCCACTCATCAGATACTACATGTAGAGAGGGTAAAAATCTATTTGACAGTAACATTTTGAAATTATATGTTTAGAGGAGTATGCGGGAAAACATATGACAATACCTAGCTCCCTACGCAGTGCTGCTTCTGCCCAGGGCTCAGCCAAGCCAATCCAGGTAAAACTGCATTATCTTAAATTCATTTTGTTAATTACTGATTTTCTTAGAAACTTACCAGTTGAGATCAAAGAGGAGAAGAGAATGAGTGAAGTAATTCTGTGCATTTCTGCAGAAGCTCAGAACAAGAGCTTTTTTCCCTAATTCTGTTACTATTAAATATCCTGAAGGCCAGACACTTCCTCAGTTTCAAGTTGCACGCTCAGGTTAGTGCAGCGGAGGTGAACGTACCACGGTGAGATGCAACAGGAAAACCCACCAGCTTCAAGGGTGTTCTTCAAAAAGAACAGTAAGGTCTCTTGACCATCGGCCCATGCCATTTCTGACATTTCCCCGACTCACGAGAGTGGCCACAACAGCTAACTTCTGCTCATGTCCCAAATTAGTGGTGTCACCAATACACTTGGCCATGTAGACTGTAGGAAATGTGCACCTGCTCTTGTGCCACACTGGAAAATTTGGCCTAAGAGCTGTCTGGAAATCTGGATTCCTAGGCTGGATATCGGTTTCTCCAAGGTCTTTTAATAAACTACTGCCTTGCAGCCTCGGGCATGTGGAGGATGAGAAGACTGCTAAGGTCTGCAAGGCTTGACTCCTTGTGCTCCTCCACGACATTTTTTGGCTTTGTTTTGACTTTGCTAACTGAGTTGAAAATTTTTACTGAGCTAATTGAGTGAATTAAACATGGTAAAGACTAAATTATTTGCTGACATTTTACATTATACCCTGAGATAAAGATCAGGGAGGTGAAGAGTGACTAACATAGACTTTGCGTGAGCTGTGCGAGAGCAGCGGATCCCTTGCTCGCCTCCTCTGCGCCCACCACGCTGCGTTTCACGGGGGTTACAGCCTTATTCTGTGTCTGAACGACATCCCAAGGACTGAAGCAATGCACATAACCTACCAATTTCTTCACATATTGCTTGTTGCCAGCTGCAGCCAAAGACGTGGGTGGCAGAAAGGTGGCAGCGATCGGCAGCGACTTAGTTTTGCGTTGAAGGCAGGTGTGTGGAAGAGCTAAAGCAGCACAGGGCGAGCAAAACCAAGGGCAGCGTCTCTGCGATGTGGGCACCGGAAGGCTCCTTGGGGAGGAGATGGGAAACCCTGCGGCAGGTAAGTGAGGCAGGACAGGGCTTGCCCTCATCTCACGTGGTGCTGGGAACCACTGAGAAATGGAGGTAAAATGCATGTATGTGTGTGGGAAAGGCAATCCTCTTTAGCAGCAGCTGCAGAACCTAGACAGCATGTATACCTGGAGGGGAGAGAACCCCCCAAAACCCCCAAACATTGCAGCTTTGTAGGCTTTGCAGGACGCCCTGTGGTTTATGAACACCCACTGTGCTGTGTTTGGGGGCCAGCACCCGGGGAGGGGTGAATACGTAGCAAAACGGTAAAATGCTCATATGCAAGTAGGCACCACAGCGCGATCAAATGAAATGTAATCTGAATAAGATTAAATTTAAAAGACAGCGGCATTAAACCCTAGCTCCAAAACTCATCAAACTCACTAAAAGCAATTTCCAAAACTGTAACCATGCTGGGATAAAGGTTTCATTACAGAGGAAGTGTTAAACTCAGCCTGTCACTTAGCAATAGGAGAGGTTTTTTCCCCTTGTTACGGAAGGGATGCAAATAGCTGTAATAGTTTCCTTTCTGTTTTACTAAGTACCAAGGCATGACTGAGTTTGTTGGCAATGCTCTAAAGGCTGGGCATCCTCAGCCCAACTAACTTATGCTAAAAATGCTCTTTGCTCCTCCCTCCCACCCTTCAATTTTGAGCTTTTCAGTAATGCAGGTGCACTGAAGCTCACAGCCTGCTCTGGTTTTGGCTTGACTGGAATTACCCTATATATAAAACCAACAGGCAGAAGCCTTCTCATTTTCTTCTATTCACCAGTTTAGTACAACCTGAAACACCTAAATATGTGTGAAAGACCTTCAGATTGAAACAGAGTGAAATCCCTGGATGTGGGCAGATTGCAGTGGAGAGAGCAGTTTGGTTACCTAAATGTCAGGTTTTAGAAATATCCAGGTTTTGCAAGATTCTAGTTTAATTTCTAACATGAAATTAAGGGAAGTAAGCCCTGAGGCTGGTACTGCACATGTCCGTTATCAACGTCTCATTTTTCTTCTCTTTTTTCTTTTTTTTTTAATGGTGGCAAATGCCACATCTGAGCAGCTCAAGGAGGTGACTAGCTGTGATCCCATGTGCCAGCCCACCTTCCCCTTGCTGTGCTGGCTTGTCTTGCCCAGGTTTCCTAGAGACTGCCGAGTGCATAAAAGAGGGCCTGAATTAGTCAAAAAGCTGCCCACGTGGATAACAACTTATTGCTTCTGTTAATTACGCTTATTAAAAAAACCCAAATTGTAAGAAGGGGGCATTGTGGAGAGCACTCTGGTGTCCAAAACAAGCTGTTTCATCTGCCTCCCCTTCCCTGACATCTTGGACCTTTAAAGAAATAGGAACAAGTTTATCACCAAATAAATCTTTCTCTTTTTTTTTTTTTAATTTTTTTAGGAGGAAACATTTTTGTTGTTAGCATGTAATGGATTCCTGAAATGCAGCATCCAGCTGGTGTAATGGGCGCTGAGGGAAAGGATGATAATGAAACCCAATTTAACTAATGAGTATAATTTAGAGAGGCTTTATTGCAGAGTTTCACGGGAAACAGTTTAGAAACATTCAGCCTGTGGAAAACGTTTTTTTTTTTTTTGTGGTTCCTTAAAAAGCCTTGCTTCAATCTGTAGAAACACACAGTGGGTTTTTATCGGTTAATGTGAGCAACCGAAGATGCTGCGTGCAATCACGAACGCGCGCTTGGCTGCCCAGCGCTCCCCGCACCGGTGGAGAGCGGGCTCGGGGCTGGCCCCGGAGACACCCCCCAAGCCCAGGCAAGGCGCGGCTTGTGAGGCTCGGCACCCCGTCTCTAACTTGGTCCCTTCTCGGCTTTAAACCGGCCGTTTACTGTGCAGAGCTGCCTGTTGGCTCCCGCAGAAAGTCATTTCCGCGGGGTCCCTGTGGAAACCTGGTTCCAGCGGGGTCTTGGCTTTCAACACCCGAGAAAGAGAGGAGGGCCAGGGAAGGGCAGCGCTGACCCCCGAAGCGTCGAGGCGTTCGTGAGCTGAACTGGCCCGCGCAGGGCACGCCGGAAACGGCCTCCGATGGACAGCAGGCGAGCGCGGTGCTGCCGAGCAGCCCTTCCTCGCCTCCCTGGATCTTTAAATCTGTGTATATAGGCAGAGATAAAATGTCTGGGTGCGTATAGATGTTTGTCACCTGTACCGCCGTTGTGGTGATTGTTGCTCTCTCGCGTGCAGCAGATTTTTTTTCACGCTTTTAGAGGAGCCGTTGTTGGGTTTTTAAAAGCTGCAGACAGATGTGGTGCAGGAGTTAGGGCTGGGTTTGCTGGTAGGCAAAGGCAGACACCGCCTCTCCCGCGTACCTCCGGGCTGGCAGAGCCCTGCCCTCCCAAAAATAAAGGCTGTGTGGGAATGGTCCCTTGGCAGGTCTCTGAACGGAACCCATATAATTATAAACCACTGTCTAGCCCTGAGTACTGCTAAGTGTTTAAGCTATCGTATTTCCACAGCTCATTCAAGGGTATTTTTAGCGTTGGTGGAAGAACTCGCTGACTAGGTCAAGTAATCCCTCCTAAACTCTATGGTCCTGATTCAGGAAAACTAACCATTTGCTTAAATGTTTGTTACGGTGAAGCCTCTGTCCCTTCCTCTGCCCAAGCTTTTCCGTGGGAGAGGATTGGGCCTGGAGTACAGGTCTGGAGAAAGAAGACCGGCTTGCATGAGCATTCAAAGTAGAGAAGTCCGCTACTGCTGAAATGGAGATATCTGTCTAAATACAATTTCTCTTACTTCTGTTGCACACACCTGGTTTTGCCAGAGTGCAGGCAAGCAGCAAGGGAGCTGCTCCCATCGGCAGTGCCTTGGCCGAGGCCGCTCATGGCTCTTGAATCCAGCTGTGCTGCAGAACTGCCTCAAAAGCTTGGATTTGTTTGGTTTTAACACAAGCCTCTTGATAATAATGGGAAGGCATCGTTAAACTGTCGCTCACCTGGCAAAGAAAAAAGCCAGAAGTTGGGAGTTTGCGTGGTGTTTGTTATCCTGTTTGTGTGTTTGGTGATTTATTGCTGCGTGGTCGTGGCTGATGGTCTCCATCAAGCCACTCTGGCCCCTCGTGCTCAGGGCTGTGTGAAAGCCCACTGAAGGCGATCTGTGCACAGGGTGAGTGGGCTGGACCCCCAGGAGGGTGGAAAGAGCAGGGAGACCACGCCGGCCAGCACCGCGAGCACCATGAAGAGCTTAGCCTGCTTTTTCATAGCAGGAGCAAGCCTCCAGGAGACACCTGAGGAGGGCCATTGGGTGATGGAGGAGAGGTCTCCCGCGCGCAGCCAGGCGGGGGACAGGACAGGGGACTGGCTGGGGACTTTGCTGTTGGCAGCGGAGGCGAGCGGCGCGGGCAGATTGGAGGTGGGAGCTGATGGCTTGACAGCATGTGGGAGACGGCCAGTGTGGGGGTGAGCCGTGAAGAGCCTTGAGATGGAGATGAACTGGCACGTTTGACACGACGGAGGGGGAGCCATGGAGAGACGAGTGATGTGGTTATGCTGACAAGCCAGGAAATGAGCCCAGGCTCCTCTGTGTGAGGAGACATCCTACCGTAGAGCCACAAACGCTGAAGCCGGAGGGGACTATTTGGGTCACCCAAAGTAATTCTAGTTTAAACTAGAAAAATCATCCCATTTAATTTAAACACTGCCAATGAGTATCCAGCAGCAACTCTTTCTTCTGGGTGACTAACCTCAGAGTTGAGGACGTGAGCACGTCCAGGGCCCCTCTTGCTGCATTTGAGGTGCCAGAACTGCTTTGCAATACCTTAAATCCACTTCCAGTGGTATCAGCCCTCCACTGCTTGAACACATACTTCAGGTTTGATAACTATGCTGCACCATCAGGAGAGGGTGTGTAAATAACTCCTCCTCAGGCCATTAAATCCACAGTTCATTCCCTGCCCCTGTATTTGATCGCTTGGATTGCTGATAACTTTCCTGTATGGCTTCTCTCACAAAACAGTCTTTCCTGCTATGCATTT